GAGAGAGAGAGAGAGAGAGAGAGAGAGAGAGAGAGAGAGGGAGAGAGAGAAAGAGAGAGAGACAGACACACACACAGACAGAGAGAACCTGCCGCCTGGGGGAGGTAGATTAGATATTAGGGGGGGGGGTGAGGGAGTCTCAGTTTTAACTGGCCAGTCACCCGCCAATAAGACTGAAGACGCGATGACGTTTGATTGACATGCGAGCCCCAAGAGCACGCGTCGCTCCGCCCCCTCGGCCTGGCGCCGTGCACGACAGGCGGGCCACTGTCACAATGGCGGGCTTTTCCATCGTCTTCGTCTGCTAGTCGTGGTCTGCTGCCGTTGTCGTGGTCGCTGTCGTCGCTTCACCGCCCACCCCCACCCCCCTCACCACGGTGTCGAGGCATCGTCGACGCGGTATTATTGATGGTGATGATGGTGACGGTGGTGGTGGTGGTGGTGTTGCCTTGTGTCGCACGGAATGACGGAGGACAGTTCGAGTAAGCCGATGAGTGGGACAGAGGTTCACGTCCCCACCCCCACACTTCTCTTTTTTAAGCCCCCCTACCACGGGGGGGGTTCAGTGCCACTGACTGAAATGTCTTTAGACCATTCCCAAAGGGGGGACATTAACTTGTTCTTATGCACAGTAGAATTGTAAATTGTAAATGGGCTGATTTAACAATGTCATGCTCATAACTGTGCCTGAACTGCAACAGGGAACTCCAGCTTTTTTTTTTCCTAATCCTTATTATAGTTCTTTTTCCTCTACTTCTTTTGTATGTTTGGCACACTCTTGTGACCCGCTATTTCCGGGGTGCCTTGACAGTCGAAGCAGACTTTGTGCAGTTGAAGCTAGAGAGGTGAGCAGAGTAAGCCGGATTCCCTGTAAAGACTTCTCTGTTGACATCCGCCCCTTGGCGCTCATATGACCTTATGCAGTTGCGAGCGCCGTAAAGCCTCTACTAAACTAAATGATGAGAAAATGGTCCATAGTATACTGACACCCGATAGAAGATGGAGAGGTTTGTTTGTTTTGTATTCTTGTTTTGTTTGTTTGTTGATATCAGGTGCGTGCGCATGTCAGAGTGGAGTGTCTTGTTTTTGGTGCTAGAGATAGAGGTTTCCGGTTTCTGGATGAATGTTTTGGACGCGACACAGTCAATATATTATATTCGAAAGTGTGTTGAAACTTTGGAGTTGCATTTGTCGAAACGATATGTGAAAGGAAGAAATGAACGTGGATGGGCCAGCTTCTAATAAAGACAACCGGACGCTTTAGAGGCTATTGCTTAAACAGCTCCAATAGCGCCTCAACAGATAAATCATTAATGGTTCAGATGATCACATTAGAGAACCAGATAACTGAAATGATCGAAAACCACTCATATTGACCCGCTCTGTAGAGTTCACGCTGTG